AGGTAGAAAGGACAGAGAAAGTGTGTCGTAGGATGGTCAGAGCAAACCATGCACGCCATGAAGACCCTCACCTACAAACCGCTTGTCCTAATGCAGGCAGTTCTCAAACATTTCACCCTCCGGACCTCCTTACACTCTTAAAAATTATTGAGGAATCCAAAGAGCTTTTGCTTATGTGGGTTATATCAATATTTACTGCATTTGAAATTAAAACAGAGAAATACTTGCCCTGGTGTGGCTCAGGTGATTGACCGTTGTCCCATGCACCGCGAGGCCACCAGTTCGATTCCCGGTCAGGGCACGTGCCTGGGCTGCGTGCTCATGCACAGTGGGGAGCGGGCAGGAGGCAGCGATCAATGACTCTCTCATCGATGTTTCTGTCTCTCTCTTTCTCTTCCTCTCTCTCTAAAATCCATAAAAACATTCTTTGGCTAATCCTCACCAGGGGAAATTTCTTCCATTGCTTTTCAGAGAGAGAGTGGAAGGGAGGGAGGTGAAGACAGAGAGAGAGTAAGAGAGAAACATTGATGTGAGAGACATGAACTGGTTGCCTCTGGCCATGTACCCTGACCAGGGGAGGGGAGCAAACCTGCAACCCAGGTACATGCCCTTGACTGGGAATGGAACCTGTGACCTTTTAGTGCACAGGCCAACGCTCTAACTACTGAGCACACCAGTCATGGCAAAAACATATTTTTAAAAAACACAAAAGAAAAAAAGCCTGAGGAGGGGGCAGGAGTAGGGTGGAGGGGGTCAATGAGGGGGAAAGGGGAATATCTGTAACACTTTCAACAATAAAAATAAATTTTTTTAAAAAAGAAAAGAACTGAGAAATACTTAAAATATTTATTAATTCATTTAAGAATAATAAATCTGTTATATGTTAATGAGAACCTACATATGTTTCTCATATCTGCTTCTGCAGCCAGCCTTTTGGGACAGTACGTATCAAGTAGCCTTTGAAAGCCTACATTGCCCACTTGACATCATGAAAATACTTTTGCCTTTGGGTACCCCTGGAAGGGTCTTCAGGACCCCTCCAGGAGTTCCTGGGGCCATATTTGAGAATTGCTGCTCTAAGACAATTATTTATTTATTTATTTAGAGAGCAGAAGGGGGAGAGAGAGACGTGGACTTGTTGTTCCACTTATTTGTGCATCACCGGTTGCTTCTTGTCTGTGCCCTGACTGGGGATCAACCTGCAACCTTGGTGTATCCGGACGACGCTCTAACCAACTGAGCTACCCGGACAATAATTCTTAACTCTTTCCCCAACCTAGCCGACCTAGGGAGTAGGCCTTGCTCCCCTAAATAGCTCAGCGGCTCACCAAAGCAATGGGTGTGGTGGGAGGAAGGGGGAACGCTTTCCTCTCGGGAGACATCCTACATATTTTCTCTGTCTTTCCTACCTTTGAGCAATGCCAGTTGCTTCATTTTGCTGAGTGTTTTTCGAATAAATGACTCGTTCTTTATCCTTGGAGGGACAATGCCTATAAATGAATGCTGAGGGGACCTAGAAGCTCCAAGAATGTGTTAACAAGTCAAGTTGTTACCACCAAGTTCACCTTCATTGTCTGCCATGTTCTAGCTAAGGCTAGCAAGATTATTAACTGAATCCGGTTCATTGTTGGGTCTCTGTACTGGCATTACCTTCCTGCCAGCTGGCTTTTCATTTCCCCTCTTTCTTGCTGCCCTGGGCTAGTATCTCCCAATATAGCACAAGAACGTGGGCTTTGCCTAGGCCTCTGTTTTCTAGGGAAACTGGACTAATGGAATATTATAATTATTAGCTTATATTATTGGTAAGAAAATAGATATATGTGTGTGGATGTTCTTTGCTTGCCCTTTGTTAAACACACACNGAAAATAGATATATGTGTGTGGATGTTCTTTGCTTGCCCTTTGTTAAACATACACAGAAAGAGTCAGGAGGCTTTGCTAGAAATAAATGACAACGATATATTCAAGGGTCTTAGGGTTTGCAAACCCGAAATAACTACTAGGCAATACCCAGGGTGTTCCAAAGGAGAAAGAAAATCCGAGAGTTTTAGAAGAAAAAGTACAACCTTGAGAAGAATCAGTTCTGCATTCTCAGCCCCTGGGTTGGTCCAAGATGGTAATCATCAGATGTCCAGTAGGCGATGGAACATTTTCTTCTTGAGGCCATTCAGGCAGTTAACTGAAGACCTGATGTATGTACAGGGATTAGCGCACAACACACCCATGTGCATCCAGGTACTGATGCGGGGCTGGAAAGTCCAAGAGCTTAAGTTGCCAGAGTGAATTAAAACAAAACTTATCTTTTCCTTGTGCTTCAGCCCACTTGAAGTTAATTTAGCAGCTTGCCCTGGCCAGTTTGCTCAGCTCAGTGGTTAGAGCATCAGCCTGAGGACTGAAGGGTCTGGGGTTCAGTTCCGACCAAGGGCACCTACCTCGGTTGCAGGCCCGGCCCCGTCCAGGTGCTTGCAGGAGGCAACCAATTGGTGCGTCTCTCTCACATCGGTGTCTCTCTCTCTCTCTTCCCCCTTCCACTCTCTCTGAAAAAGCAATGGGAAAAAGATCCTCTGATGTGAACTAAAAATAATAATAATAATAATTTAGCAGCTTGACCACAGTGGCTCCATTTTATTTCTTCACTTTATTTCTCACTCTCCATTTTAGTCTCCACCCTTCCCCATGCCTATCTGGTCCCCCAGAGGGTGACCTTTCGGGCCGCATCCCAGACCCCCTTGCTTCTGGTAGTCTTCAGAGGGGGAAGGAGCCGGCAGGGGACCAGAGGGGAGTAGAGTGAGACGGGGATGTTTACTTCCCAGCTCCCTCCCTAAGCCACAGGTTGACAAAGGCTGCATTCCTTTGAAGGCGCTGCTGTTGGCTGGCCCTCCCTACATCTGCGGCTCTGTCTCTTTCCTGGTTCCAGTAACTTCCCTTTGTCTCTTCAGCAGGCCTCTCTATTATTGCTAGCCCCGGGTTGCCTCATCAGCCCTTGCTGGTTTTCCTTAACCCTGCCTACACCCCTGTAAATAGTTCCTTCATTAAACTCTCCTCAATTTCTCTTTGAGATGCCATATGATTCTTTTTTTAAAAATTATTTTTAGAGAGAGAGGAAGAGAGAGAAATATCGATGGTCTGCCTCCTGCCTCTTACTGGGAATGGAACTGGCAACCTTTTGGTGCAGGGGAGGACACCCAACCAGCTGAGCCACACCAGCTAGGGCACCATATGTTTCTTAAATGGGCTTGTATTGATATAAGCTGAGGGGTTGAGTGACTTTCCCAAGGTCACACAAAGAGTAAGCGACAGAAGCCCTGAGAGTACTAATTCTAATACAGAGAAGGGCGGAGTCTTTTTCTGGCCTGGCCACCCTGCCCAGCCCCCTCCTGGAATCTTGTACCCAGCCTAACCTGCCGGAATCTGTGATCCTTTTGTTGGGATGGGATTGTATTCCCCAGGGCTCCCTTCCCGGACCTGGCCCACAACTTCAGTAACCAGAGCTGTGTGAGAAGAAAAGCCAAAGCCACTGGGGTAGCCGCACCCCAAAGAGAGGTGAGGTCTCAGGTGAGTCAGGCCAAAGAGGGTCCACCTCTCTGTCCCAAAGGCCAATGCTGCCCTGTAGCCCTGCCCCACTAACACTGGCCTCTCAGCCGCTGGCTATCCTCTCCTGTCTTTGCCCACAGGGTTCTCCACCCCTCCCTCCCCCACCCAACGGGTGTCCTGGAACTGGGACATCTGCCTCCCACCCCCACCCTGGGCCTCCAGAGATGTGAGATGGGACAGGGCTCTGGGTTGGGCCTGCAGGCTCCCTACTTCCCCTTCCAACCCCTGATCCTCTCAGATTCCCAGAGATGGGTTCTGGCCAGGGAGGGTGGGGCTGCTCCAGGGACCATCACGAGCCACGGGCTGCCTAAACAGTGACAGAGCTGTGGCAGGGAGCAGACCTTCACCCATCTCTGTGCCTCCAGTTGACTCAAATGTGCCATGTTCCAGCGCCTGCTTCTCCCACTTGTGATCCTCGGTAACCTCAGGAGACAGAGGATGCTGCAAGAGGCCTGGGTCCTAGCATCCGAGCAGCTAGAAAGCAGGACTCCTGAGCTCTTCAGGGGAGTCCAGTGTCAGAAGAAGGGCAGGGGGCCATCAGGAGGAGGGAGTGAGGTGTCTGGAGGGAGAGGAGTCGCGTATGCTGGGAGGGAGAAGGGCTGCAGTGGGGAGGGAGAGCAGATGTGAAGCCCGGGG